AAACAAAAAATATAAAGTGATCGACAGATGTCAAAGTGACACAGAAGTTGAAATAAGCTGACAAAGATTTTAAAGCAGCCATGACAAAAAAGCTTCAACAAGCAATCAAATAAATAAATAAATAAATAAACAAAACAAAACACACTTGAAATGAAAAAATAGAAAGTTTAAGGAAAGAAATAGATGCTACAGGGAAGAACCAAATGGAAATTTTTGATTTGAAAAATACAATAGTCAAATTAAAGAGATCAAAAAAATCAGTTTAACAGCAGAATGAAGGGGACAGAGAAAATATCCCTGACATAGAAGATAAAACAACAGAACATACACTGGGGAAAGTGCACAGAGATTTAGGGATTTGGTTATAACAAAAGCTCTAACATGTCAGCAGAATCCTAGAAGGAGAGCAAGGCTAAAAAAGTTCTCAAAGAAAATAATGGCTGAAATCTCCTCAAATTTTGCAAAAGACATAAGCCTATAGATAAGAAGCTGTGTGAACCCCAAAGTAATTACCCTTCAAATCCATGCCAAAAATGCATTATAATTAAACTTCTGAAAACTAAAGATAAAAAAATCTTTAAAGAAGCTAGAGAAAAACCATTTGAATGACTGTATTTCTCATCAGGCACTACAGAAACCTGAAGAAAATTCCACAATAATTTTAAAATCCTGAAGGAAAAGAACTATCAGCCCAGAATCCAAACCCAGAAAAAAATATTCTTTAGGAATGAAGGAGGGAAGCAGGCCTTCTCATATAAAGAAAAAGCAAGAGGATGTGTTGCCAGCAGACTTATCCTAAGACACTGGCTAAAAGAAGTTCTCAAAACAGAAAGAAAATGATAAAAGCAAAAACACTGGAATATCAGAAAGCAAGAAATAGCATGAAGTTGAAAAAGTGTTCAAGTAACCCACAAGTAAGCAGGGATAAAAGAGGGATGAGAAACAAAGAGTTAAAACCCTAATGGAATCCCACTGCACACCCCCCAGAACAGCAAACACACCAACCATGGTGACACAATCTGGCGGTAAGGATGTGGAGAGGCTGAACTACTAATAGGCTGCTGGCTTTCCCTCTGGAAAGGTGTGCTAGTCTCTTTAAAACTAAACATGCAGTCACCGTAGGACGTAGCAATTGCACTCTTGGGCATTCATCCCAGAGAAATGGAAATATATATTCACACAAAAACCTACACAAATATTTATAGCATGATAAATATGACAAATATTTTAGCATGATTTATTCATGATACTAAAAACTGCAAACAACCCAGATGTCTTTCAGCAGGTGAATGGTTAAACAGACTATGGTGTATTCATACCATGAACACTTCTCAAAAGTAAAAAAGGAATGAACTGGCTCGGCACCCGTACCTCAGTGGTTAGGGCATTGGCCACATACACTGGGGCTGGCGGGTTTGAACCTGGCCAGGGGCTGCTAAACAACAACAACAACAACAACAACAAAATAGCTAGGAGTGTGGCAGGTGCCTGTAGTCCCAGCTTCTTGGGAGGCTGAGGCAAGAGAATCACTTAAGCCCAAGAGTTTGAAGTTGCTGTGAACTGTGACTCCACAACACTGTACCTAGGGCGACAGAGTGAGACTCTGTCTCAAAAATAAATAAATAAATATATAAAAAGGAGCGAACTATTGGTACATGCAACAACCTGGGTGAATCTCCAGAGAATTATGATGAATGAAAACTACCAGTCCAGAAAGGTTACATGGTGTGCGCTTCTGTTTATGTGGTTCCCTTAAACAGGTCTAGCAAAGGAGAGCAGAGTAGTGGTTGGAGGAGGTGAGAGTAGGTTGGAGGTGAATGTGTCTGCAGAGGGCACAGGTAAGCCTGGTGGGAAGCAAGTCCTGGGTTTGCCTGTATCCACTTCAGTGTCCTGGCTACTGAGATATTTGGCAAGATGTTACTTTGGGGGGAAAATGAGTTGAAGGCTCACAGGGTCTCTCTGGATTATTTCTTATAACCCATGTAAATCTAGGATTATCATGAAATACAAAATTTAACTCAAAATGATTTCCAGAACCAAATGAATTTGGGAAACATTGCATACTTTACCTCTCTTTGAGAGCAAGTTCACTCCAAATTTTCTGAGTAAGTCCTCCTCTAGGAAACATATTTAACTTTAACTGACTGGTTCCCAGTGTAAATGAGTGTGGAACACCCCCCTTTAACAAAGTGTGAAGTTGTCTGCTACAGAACCCCACATCTCATAGCAGGGCCCTGACCAGTAGCCATCCAGAAGCTAGTTAGAAAAACAGAACCTCAATCCCACCCTAGGACCGCTGAGGCAAAGTGCTTCTTTTGGCAGGATCTCCAGGCAGGCAATTCAGCTGCATAGTGCTCTTTGCAGTGAGTGGCCCAGGGCACGCTGGAAAGTGTGAACAGTAGCTGCTGCATTTTATAAAGCACCATGAAAACCACGGTCCCAGCTGAACCCCCTAAGACAAGAGGCAGAAAGGGGTTAAGGTGATTGGCCCAAAGTCATCTGCTATTAAGTGGTCTCCTGGGGAATGATGGGCTATTATTCACCTCAAATATTTACTTGCTGCTACACCTGCCCAAGCCCTTGCCAGGAGCTGAGAGACTGGCTGCTCAGCCCAGCAGTTCCCATCTGCGTTTATCGTTGCCTGCCTCAGAGGACCCTGCACCCACTTGCAGAATCCCTCATGCTTCTGCTCCCACTGTAATATAGTGGGGTGTTTTGACAGCCCCCCCAGACTCTTTGGGATAGATATTCTTGTCTGCCACACTTTGCTTGTTCCTTTCTTTAAACTGTAACCAATTTCCTGCTCACCAATGACCAATTTCCTCGTCATTCTTCTTCCCCAGACCTTTATAGAGCACCTATTGTGTGCCAGAACAAGACGGACAAAGCCCACACAAGCTTGAAAATGATATTCCTGTATGATCCCCAGGTATGTCAGAGGCATGCCCCAGGTGTTTCAGGTGTGTCTCAGGCATGTCCTAGTTATGTGTCAGATGTGTCCCACATGTGACCCAGGTGTGTCCCAGGCATGACCAGGTGTGTGTCAGGCATGTCCCGGATATGTCTCAGGTGTGTCACAGGTCTCAGGGATGTCCCAGCTGTGTCTCAGGTGTTTCAAATGTGACCCAGGTATGTCTCAGGCATGTCTCAAGTGTGTTGCAGGTGTGCCTTGGGTGTGATCCAGGTGTCCCAGATATCTCACATGTATCAAAATTTTGTCACAGGAGTGATCGAGGTCTGTGCCAGCTGTACCCAGGTGTTTTAGGCATACCTTGGGTGTCTCAGGCACGTCCCAAATGTGTGCCAGGCGTGTCCAGACATGCCTCATGTGCGTCCCAGCTAGTTAGAAAAACAGAACCTCAGAATGTCCCAAGTGTGCCCCAGGTGTGTCCTAGGTGTTTCAGGTATGACACAAGTGTGTCCCAGATGTGCCCCACATGTGCGCTGGGTGTGCCTAAGGTAAGTGTCTCTGGCCTCTCCATGCCTCGTGTGGGCCTGCCTTTGGGTGGGACCTCAGCCAGGGTAGCGCTCTGGGCATCTTCTGCCACCTGCCCCAACAGTCACCGACACTGTGGCCTGGCATCCGCTCTGTCTACAAACTGCAGGTGAGAAGGACAATGATTCGAGCTGACCCCTGAGCAAGTCTCACCTACAGATGCCCCAGGAACCTGTTATGGGTTTTTCGCTCTAAATTCATACTATCAGGTACTGTCCATCTCTCTTTAGTATCTTAAAAATAACCATGAAACATAGTAGGGAAAACAACTGGCCACCTCACACCTCCAAGTGCTGCCCTCAGTGAGGGAGAGGAAGATAGCTTCTTGGGAGGAAGGGGTGAGTTGAATGCCTGTCTAATCTGGTCAGAGCAGCTTAGCGGATTATCTTTTTCTGGCACCTGCTCCTCACCCAAGCGCGTCCTCTGTGACCCCAGGTCGGGATTTAGCCTGGTGCTGCGTCAGCTCTGGGCACTGTTGGCTTCCCAGCAGGGCCCCAGCATCCTCACCGTGGCCAGGACAGCTCCCTTGTCCAGCCAGGCAGGGACAGACCACAGGCCAAGGGTGTCAGTCAGGCCTGCTCTGGCCATTAGTGCTGCAGGTTTGGCCTCGGCCCATGGTCCTCACACCTGAAGTGGGCAGGAAGCCGGTGCCAGGATGGATTTCGGGTCCTTGGAGACAGTGGTGGCCAACTCTGCCTTCATTGCTGCCCGGGGCAGCTTTGATGGGAGCAGCACGCCATCCTCCCGGGACAAGAAGTACCTGGCCAAGCTCAAGCTGCCCCCATTGTCCAAGTGTGAGTCCCTCCGTGACAGCCTTGGTTTGGAGTTTGAGAGTGTGTGTGTGGAGCAGCCCATCGGCAAGCGGCTCTTCCAGCAGTTCCTGCAGACTGACGAGAGGCACGTGCCAGCCCTGGAGCTCTGGAGGGACATCGAGGACTATGACACGGCTGACGATGACCTCCGGCCGCAGAAGGCCCAGGCCATCCTGGCTGACTACCTGGACCCCAAGGCCAAGCTCTTTTGTGGCTTCCTGGATGAGGGGACGGTAGCGAAGGTCAAGGAGGGGCCTGTGGTCAGCCAGGACGGGCTGTTTCAGCCTCTGCTGCAGGCCACGCTGGCGCACCTGAGCCAGGAGCCCTTCCAGGAGTTCCTGGGCAGCCTGCACTTCCTGCGCTTCCTGCAGTGGAAATGGCTGGAGGCTCAGCCCATGGGGGAGGACTGGTTCCTGGACTTCAGGGTCCTGGGCAAGGGTGGCTTCGGGGAGGTGTCAGCCTGTCAGATGAAGGCGACCGGCAAGATGTACGCATGCAAAAAGCTCAACAAGAAGCGGCTGAAGAAGAGGAAAGGGTATCAAGTAAGTGGGGTGCTGGGGGAAGGTGGACAGATGGGGTATCAAGTAAGCAGGGTACCTGGGGGGCACAGAGGCCCCCAGATACAGCCAGCCTGACCCATCCAGGCAGGAAGCAGTGCATGTGGCCTGTGCTCCTCCCTAGCCCAAGTGCAATGGGGAGTTTGAGGGACAGGGGCCTGTAGGGGAGTGGCTTCAGGTCACTCCCAGGCCTTCCCCAAAGCCTCGGCCTATGTTAGGTAGACTGCAGGTGACTGAGGCAATGCCACCAGATGCCAGGCTGATGGTGGGAGACAGAATTGCCCATGGTGCAGGGCCATGGCTGCTTTCTGGAAGGCTCATCGCTCTGCCTCCCTGTGTCCTGTGTCTGCCTGGGTGGGGTCAGTGGAAACTGCTTAGAGCTTGAAGGACACATTTTCCGAGGTGGCCCTCAGCCAACTCTGTCACACATGGCTCCTGTCCCTTCCCTGCTGCCTGGCACAGAGTTTAGGATGAGTGCAGCTCTGAGGGTAAACGATGACCAGTGCCTGGCCCTGCAGGCCTCTGAGCTTAGCAAAGGTAAATGGCAGGTGCTTCTGGGAGTGCTGAACAGGAGGCCCTGGAGACACAGAATGTTTTCACTGTGGGACTTTGGGCACTGGGTCAGCCTCATGTTAGCTAACAGTAATTTGCTTAAAGTTGCTGCTTGACATATAATTCACATACCATGCCCTTCACATCAACTGTGATTTTAATCCAACATATTAGCCTCTTCTCCTAACTTCAGTATCTGAACGCAAAGCAGCCTGGGGGTCCCCTGCAGCTGCAGATGGGGCCTCCTACAGCAGATTTTTTTCTTCAAAACCACCTTCTCAAATGTGTCAAAGGAAACACAAGAGGTTGTAAAATGAAGGCTAAAGTCCAGCAAGGCGAGGGCTTGGAGGTGCTGGCCAGTGGCCTGTCCCCAGAAGCCAGGACAGGAGGGGCTGCAGGAGCTGTGCAAACTGGCGGGCTGGGAGGAAGGGTCCTTTTTATGCTTCCAGCTGAGGGGCAGGGGCTGGCCTAGGAGACCTACAGTCTCCTGTCTCTAAAGGAATTTGTGTGTCTGGTTTTCTCTCTAGGAAATGGGGCATGTGAGACATATTTTTAAGTTATTGGAATTGGTTTTGAAAATTGCATTTAAAATGCATTTGCCACTTCATTTCTGGTGTCTATGACATCTTCTTTTTTTTTT